CGTGTCGACTCGCTCTAAAAGCGTAGTTTACACGGGCAAGTAAATTATCGCAAATATTTGTCTGAGAGCACTTCTACCGCTTCTACCAAACTTGCATAATGTAAACAGTATCCTAAAGCACTCTCCCAGCAAATCACAGAACTGGCGGGGAAGTGGTTGCGACGAAAGACGCTTGAAGTGTAAACAGGTTGGGAAAGTGCTCTAGCAAGTTAAAATTTATTTCCGTCTTGTTGAAAGTTTTTGGTGCAAGTGATTTTCGAAGGCGTGTTAAATAACGATATTAAAATGGAGTATGTGGTCGAAAGAAGATACCATCACTTTGATTAATTTATTTGAAGGATTTCTGGAATTGTGGCAAAAAAAAATCGAAAATTTATAAAGATAGAGCTAAAAAGCAAAAAGCAATCACATTTATAGCTGACAAATTCAACACAACTGAGGCTGAGATACAGCGGAAGCTACATAATATTCGTACCCAAGCAAACCAGGAGTGAAATAAAATTATAAAAAGAAAAAGTAAAATCGACTTCTGACATTCGTAGAAAATTGTTTAAATGCTTTGGGTCTTCATTTCTTTTTTTTTAATAACATCGCGTAAACTCCATGACTAGGCCTTCTGGCAATCCATTCTTTAGCCCATATTCTTTTTCTAAATTTTCTTGACTGTTTGCGTAAAATTACAAGAAGAAGAGCAGTGGCTGCAGCTCTCTTTTTACGGCGCGACATTTTTTTCTACTAAAAATATACTTGTGCAATATACACCATACCGTGTATACGTGCATGCAATTTCTTGCTCAAAGCATATACCTAGAAAGTACTTGTTGCAAGAAACTGCTTTAAAATTTGCTTAAATAACTAACACTACTACTAACTAAACACTATCGCAAGTTACTCTAGCAAGTTCTATCGCAATTTTCTATCCCGTGTAAACTACGCTTTAAGCGAATCAAATCACAAACTTGCTAGAGTAACTTGCGATAGTGTTTACATTTAAGCAAATTTTAAAGCAATTTCTTGCAACAAGTACTATCTAGGCATATGCTTTGAGCAAGAAATTGCATGCACGTATACATGGTATAGTGTATATTGCACAAGTATATTGTTTAGTAGAAAAAATTCGCGCCGTAAAAAGAGAGCTGCAGCCACTGTTCTTCTTGTTGCAATTTTACGTCAAACAGTCAAGAAAATCTAGAAAAAGAATATGGGTTAAAGAATGGATTGCCAGAAGGCCTGGTCTTGGAGCTTACGCGATGTAATTAAAAAAAATAATAAATGAAGACCCAAAGCATTTAAACACTTTTCTGCGAATGTCAGGAGTCGATTTTACTTATTCTTTTTATAATGTTGTTCCACTCCTGGTTTGTTTGGGTACGAATATTATGTAGCTTCCGCTGAATCTCAGCCTCAGTTGTGTTGAATTTAATTGCTTTTTGCTTTTTAGCTCAATCTCTGTAAATTTTCGATTTTTTTGCCACAATTCCGGAGATCCTTCAAATAAATTAATCCAAATAATCACCAAAAACTTTCAACAAGACGAAAATAAATTTTAACTTGCCAGAGCACTCTCCCAACCTGTTTACACTTGCAAGCGTCTTTCGTCGCAACCACTTCCCCGCCAGTTTTGTGACTTGCTGGGAGAGTGCTTTCGGATACTGTTTACATTATGCAAGTTTGGTAGAAGTGCTCTCAGACATATACTTGCGATAATTTACTTGCCCGTATAAACTACGCTATAGATAGCGTCCAACTGACACACTAATCAGGATTTATTTATACTTCTCCGGAGGCAATTTTTAGTCATTGTCCTAGCGAAGGCACCGACATAATTTTCAATGAACAGGTGTACAGAATAGTTTCCCCAATTTTTCAATGAAGAAAAGGCAAAATTAGAGAGCAATACGTAACTGAACGAAGTATGGAG